TAAGCGCCAGCCACTCCAATGAAAATGGAAATTGGCAGCCCTGGCTGCCTTTTATGGGGTGTGCTCCCGCTGGTGGTTTTCAGTCCTGTGTGACCCTCCTGTTCCTGCACCACAGGTCTGTGGTGCTGTAGATGCCCACAGGTGTCTGTTGTGCATGGAAGCTGGCCTGCAGGCTGTGGTGGGGTTGCCAGGGTCTGAAGCCTCCTGTATTATGCTTTCTAGCAATGCAGGGGCTGTACCTCCAAGCCGGCCATTCTCATAACAGACAATTGCCGCAGGTGCAGGTGAATCACTTCAAGGTCTCTGGCTGGTGGTATCCATTCTCTGGGCCTCAGATTCCCCTGTCCCTGCCCCATCCACACACACTAAATGTCCCCTTTTGCAAGGCCATGGTCCCGATGAGAGAACTGGAGGCAGTGGACATGTGCTGGCTTGTGTACAACCCATGCAGGAAGAGGGTGCGGCTGGGATCCGTGTTCTCACACATTACAATTACTAACCACAGGGCGCCACTTAATTAAATCACATGCTGATTTGATGACTCAGGCAGTCCCCCAGAGTGTGGCAGTATATTGGGGTCATACAGCAAGCAGAAGCCTAAGCTTGGAAGGGGCTTAAAAATTTTTGACTCTCAAAAGTTTTGCCTTTGTCTCTCCTGCCAGATGGTGTTCACCCTGCCTCACCTGGTCTTCACGCCCTGTGATAGCCTCACAGCCAAATAAACTAGCAGCCAAATACCACCCAGAAACCTGCCCTGGGCTCCCACTCCCATCAGAACCTTCTTTTCCTGAAGTTCACCTTCTCCCCACCTCCTCGGACCCCTATCTGGGTAAATGCCAGCCTGATCTGGCCTTGACCACCAACCCCCTCCTCCCTCAGCCCTCTCAGATCCTTGGCCCACACAAGCCAGAGGGGTCACCGGACACTCTCTGTTGGGCTCTGGAACCTGTGTTTGGCTTTACTTCTGAACATGGATGTCAATAAATTCCACCTCAAATCTACATTACCAACACAAAACCTTTCTTTAAAAATCTGAATTGGGAAGAGCTAAAAAGGAGGCCAGCAGCCAGCTTTCTTTTTGTTTTTTTTTTGGGGGGGTCCCAGGGATTGAACTCAGGGACACTCGGCCACTGAGCCATATCCTCAGATCTATTTGGTATTTCATTTAGAGACAGGGTCTCACTGAGTTGCTTAGCACCTCACTGTTGCTGAGCCTGGCTTTGAACTCTCGATCCTCCTGCCTCAGCCTCCTGAGCCCCTGGGATTGCAGGTGTGCTCCACCGCGCCCAGCTTAGCTGCCAGCTTTTGAATACTTCCAGTGCCCCTTTCTGGGTCTACTTGTCATGGGATGAGCTTTGTGGACAGTGTGTTCCTCTAGTACAGGGGTCATTAAATGAAGTTTGTATTTCCTGGAGGGAGGATAAACAGAAGTTGAAGACATCTACAAGTTGGCAAAGGAAGTGATCTGTTCAAGGAGTAAGCGTTTCTGGTAAACCCTGAAACTTAGATAAACTGCCATGTTAAGGGAGGAGCCCAGGTAATCTGGTGGGTCCATAAACCAGGCCCTTAGTCACAACTCACACCCAGAGCAAGACCTACTGCTAGATGGCAAGTGGGGCGTGCGTTTCAGAGAAGGGGATTGAGAAGAGCTCAAGGTCACACAATTTATGTGTGGGTGGACCATTTTGCTGGCTTATATATGACCTAGGATTTCATTCAGAAACCACAAAACACATCTGGAGATAGGCAGTCTTGGGTTGGGCTTATTTTGTAAAACACCACAAAAGACCTTGGGAAATGTGTCACTTGTTTCCAGAGAGGATCTGGGGTGACATAATCAAAGTCATATGTGTAATTGTTAAAATAGCAACCATTGGACCATATTTCTAGTCTTTTTAAATTCAAATAATTCTCTTTCACAGTGATGGATTCTTCAGGCTTGCATAGGCTGGGAAACACCCAACTTAAAGAGCTCTATACCAACTTGGTAAAGTAACTTAAGTGTCACAGAATAGCATTGCTTTGGGTTTCTCGGCCCAGGATCTTTGTACAATGAAAGCATCCTGTGGAGGGGCACTAAGTTTTCCCACCACCCTGGGTCCTATGGATAAGATGCTATGGTGGAGTGCAGGGGTTGCTGGAGGGCACTAGGTGGGTTACTGAGATTAAAACAACAACAACAAATCAGGCATGGGGTCAGTAGAAACAATAGGATGACATAATCTAAACACCCTTTGCATCAGACCAAGAGTGCAATCAGGAAACACTCAGGACCAACCAGCTGGGCGCCCAAGTGAACCAGGACACAGAGTATCACTTTCAAGAAAACTGGATCTCAAACCCAATGCTGTCACTTCCCAGCCAAGTGGCTTTGAACAAATCACATCCCCATTCTGAACTGCAGTTTCCCCACCGGCAAACAGGGGCCCACCATAAGATAAACGGTGCCAGGGTTTGGGCCACACGGTGTGCATGGGCCTCCTGCCCTCTGTTTGCACTGCTCAAAAAATGGCTCTTGTTTGGGGGGCTTACAGGTCTGCCAAGGTTTACCTCCCTAGAGCCAGCCATCATTTCTCTAAGGGGGTGATTTTGTCCCTCTCTCCAGGGAACCATTCGGCCATGTGTGGAGTAATATTTTGTGGTCGCATCTGGGACAGGTGTGCCACCGGTGTGCAGAAGATGAAAGCCAGGCTGTTCAACATCCTACAATGCACAGGATGGCCCCTGCTGCCCAGAATCATCTGCTTCAAATGGCAGTTGCGCCAGTGCTGAGAAACCTGAAGTGGGCCACCCTCTCTAAAAGGTTATTTTCTAGTCTGGCTTCCCCTTGGTGGCTCAG